CTTATCTGAAGGCAGTAGAACTAGTTAGTATTTGGTCAGGTTTCTTAAAGCAATTGCAGTGGGGAGCTTTTCCCCCATTTCCAAGTCAAAAATATTATTCAAAAAACTAAAAGTAAGAGGGAGAGTGTCAAAAGGTAAAGAAGTATCTCTATGCAAGAAGACTTTCAAACACAAGTGAGAGACTACTTGAACACATGTTCTTTTATGATAGGCAGATTTCAACATTTAGCATTTAAATTTAATTTTAATTCAAAATTAAATTGTTTTAGAATATCAATATAATATTGTAAAAAAACTGTAAAAGATATACTCATGACTAAAGATGCTCTTAACATCTATTAATAATAGTAAACCCAATTAATGTCTAAATTATATATTTTGCATAAAAAAACTGAAATGTATTACAGTTAAACCTCTATAAATTAATAATGTTGGGACTACATCAAAACTATAATTTTTATTAATTTATAGAGAATATTAGTTTATCGATATATTAATTGAACTAACAACTCAATTTGAGACTATTAATTTGTAGAATTTTTAGTGTATTTTAATTTATAGAGTACTAATTTAAAGAGGTTATACTGTAGTTTAAAAGTTGTTTTCTTTTCATTATAGAAAAGCTGTGTCTTTTCAAAAAGAAAAATCTTAATTTTAAAAGTTGTATCTTTATATAAAAAAAAAAGAATTAGTTTAGAAAGTACTTGATCCTTATCACAATTAGATATGTTTTAAACTTTTCACACATATTAAAAAATATGTAAGATTTTGATTATAAATGCATTATTTTCTGTGTTTATCTTTTTTCCTATCAAAATTCAGTAAACATAATTAATATCACTGAAGTCTACAATTTGTCGTTATTACATACATTGAAAATGTAAAATATGGATTTTTAGAAACGATTGTTTTTTCTAAAACATGATTCATTATGAAACGAAAAGTATAGTTAAAATAAGTTTTAAAAGTTGTGTCTTATCATTATAAACAAATAAATTAATAAAAAAACCCCAATTAATGTTTAAAATTGTGTCTTTTCAATAAATGAAACCTATTAGTTTTAAAAGTTGTTTTTAATTATTAAAAATCTATTAATAATAGGAAAATTCAATTAATCTTTAAAGGTTGTATCTTTTCATAAAAAAAACTGAAATATATTAGTATAAAAGTTATTTCTTTTCATTATAGAAAAGTTATGTCTTTTTAAAAAAAATAGTGTCTATTATTTATGAAAGTTGTATCTTTTCATAATAAAAAAAATAATTTCAAAATAGTAAAATAAGTATCAAGAGCTTCTCATTATAAAATATTAATTAATAATAAAAAACAATTAATGTTTAAAATTGTGACTTCTCATAAAAGAACTGAAATGTATTAGTTTTAGAAGTTGGTTTTACATTATTAATTAAATATGACTTTCATAAAAAACACTTAACTCTATTAATTTCAAGAGTTGTGTTTCTTAATTATAAATAAACTTATGTATTTTCACAATAACTTATTTCTATTAGTTTTAGGAGTTGTACATTTTCATTATAAAAATAAATTAGTTTAAAAATAATTAAACAATCCCAATAAATGTCTTTTTACACTTATTAGTTTAAGAGATGTGTCTTCTAATTAAAAAAACAGCCTATTGTAAAAGTTGTTAGAATATTCCAATAAGTATCTTTATATAATTATGAGTCTCTTCATTATATAATCAATTGAGTTTCCTTACTTGACATAAAAAGGTTCTGGGGGAGAATGAACAATTTTTATGTTGATAAATGGACCAAATGGTAAATGGTCTATTATTAGTAGGAATCTTAATTAAGCAAAAGTTGTATATTTTCATTAAAAATAAAATGTATTAATTTTAAGAGTTGTATCTTTTCATTATAAGAAAAAAGTTGTCTCTTTTATAAAAAAAAAAAATCAAACTGTATTAGTTTATTTTTTGATCAAATAACTATAGAAGTTTTAAAAATTGTATAAAATAAATCAATTTAAAACGTAGTTACATATCCCAATAGTTGTCTTTTCACAATTATTAGTTGTTAAAGTTGTGTCTTCTCATTATAAATGACAAACTAATAATAAGAATCAATTAATGTGAAAAATTGTGTATGTTCATGAAAATAATGAAAGACTTGTGTTTTTCATTATAAATGATAAATTACTTTAAAATTAGTTAAAAAATCTCCCAATAAATGTTTTTCTACGATTGTTAGCTTTTTAAAATACAATTATTAGATTTAAGAATTGTTTATTCTCATTATAAAAGACAACACATTTTGTTAATTATTAAAATATCACAATAAGAGTCTCTCTATAGTTATGGGTCCTTTTATTATGCAATAGAATGTATTCTTGTAATGTGTGTCTATTCAAAACATACGGTAAATGTACTATCTTAAACTAACTATCTCGAATCTAAAAATCATGACTTTTCATATAGATTTTTGAAAATCTATAAACAATTGATGTCCATAAGTTCCTCAGTATAAAGCTTTCACAAATTTATTAAAATTGTGAAGAAAAAAAATGTGTGCTTACCTACTTACAAATTCTCAAAAAATATTCAAATGGAACGTTAGATATTAGGAAGGATCTTACGAATTTGGATAGCAATAAATCCTAAACTAAATGGAGTTTTTAGTCTTAATTTTCTTATGTTAAATGAATTATCAAGATATTAACAAACCCATGATGTATTATGTGGTGATATTTGGGAAATACAAAAAAAAAAAATATTCTTTCAATTTATGTAACTTTATACCAAAATATGCCTTTTAATTTGTAAAAGAGTATATTTTTTTAGAAATACTCTTTCTTAGAATACTTTTCAATCGAATTACATTGAAGATTAAAATCCATCAAAATTTTAAATGGGCTTCTTAATCACTTTTTAGTACCGTTTTACTATTTTTTCTAGAATGTCTAACAAAACATAATGTATGGGTGATATGCTAAAATAATATGTAAAAGGATAATATATCTTAAAACTACCATATAATCATATTTTCGAGTAAACAGATCTTACATTGTTTCAAAAAAAAAAAAAAAAATCTACTTGTCGTTATAACTTATCATACTAATTTAGTAAATAGTTCGATTGGAATGTGTTTGTTTTTGAATTAATTTTAAATATTCGATTACTTTAGAGATTTAAAAAAAAACAAGAACTTAGCTAAACGTATAATAAGTCATATATCTTATTTGGTACTGACATGTCTATATTTTTACTACAGCCGTAAACAAAACGTAGATTTTTAATATTATCAACAAAGAGATATAATTGCATGCAATATAATTTTGTGACACGTGTATTTCTTTTTAAAAATTTATAAGTGGTTTCTATATCTATAAAATATATAATATTCATTTTTAGAAATGAGTTTTCGTGCAACAGCGCACAAGTTCTTTACTTATTTCAAATAATGAAAAAAGGATAAAAGGGGAAAAATGATAAGAGGTGTAATAATATGCAGCTATATTTTATGGTAGACCTAAAAATTTTAGGAGAGACTCTTAAAGTAAAAACACCCTCAATGGGAGGTTCTAGCTCTTGGGTTCTAAATATACATATTTGTGTATGTATCTATTATATATGCGTATATAATTGCGAGGTTTTAAGTTTTACCGGAAACCCAACTAAAAAGTTCTGTGTACTAAATAATAAAAAAAGAAGAAATTAGGATAAAAGGGGGAAAATGATAAGAGACGTACTCTATACTATGGGAGACTTAAAATTTAAGGAGAGACTCTTAGAGGTTGGCATTGGATTCTTAATATACACTAGAACTTGACCCACGTTCCCGCACGGATGTTTGATTTAATTTGGGTTCAACGTAAACTAATAAATCGCTGATTTATAAAAAAAAATCTCATGTATATTATTTATGCTTTGTCATTTCATATAGAGTAGAATATAGTATTATAATATAATATAGATGTTTTATAATAATTATTTTATTTGTATATAATATTATGTCAAAATTTTATAACTTGATGTAATTGTACTATTCATATATTAACATTTGTTTTTGGGTTGATTTATTCTAAAATGAAACAACATACATAAAACAATTTAAGGGTCAATATATGAATATCGATTTGGTTAGATAACTTTAGGATTGTAACTATTTAATTTAAATTTATTTTAAATACAGTGACATAATCTGTAAATAAAAAAATACAAAAAGTACTTAATTATTATAAATGGAAAGGCTAATTTTATAAATAAAATAAAAATATCTTTTTATATATATTACTATCCATATTTCCAAACATATTTCATTTTAATATTTCTATACATGTTTCCAAACAGTACCAAAATGTATTTCAGTTTAAATAATATAGATATATACACATATATATAAACATTAATATTTTATTATGGGTATATTTGTTCTTGGAAACTCACCTAAAGTATCTACGCATATATATTTTTAGTTAGGTTTTCTGTAGTTTTATAATAAAATACTAATATATATATATATGCATACTGATGACTTTTTAGTGTATACTGAGAACTTAATAGTAAAAACCCTTTTTGGAATTGTTGTAAAAGCATCTTTAATGGGAGATTCTAGCTTTGAAGTTCTTAAAATACATATATGTGTATGTATACATAAATGTAGAGATTTCTTTTGTTTGGTTTCCCATAAAACTAAAAAAAAATCAATTATATATATAATATGTATTTTGACAACTTCTAAAACTAACACCCCCTAATAAAATTGCTCTAAGATCTGTCTTATTCTATTGGTCATTATTAAAGTTTATTTTTTCTTTTAATTACATTGAGATGATTAATCATGGTTTTTTTTTGGAATTCTTAACTAAGGAATTGACACCCTTTTAAAATTTTTTGAGTAAATGACGTCTTTTATATCTCTTATTTAAGATATGATTTTTTTAACTTTTCTTAGTTAAAAGTTAATAAATTAATTTTAGCCGAAACTAAGAACCCCAATAAAAAGACCAGGATTACTGATGTCCAATGTTTAAAAAATTTATACACCTGTCTTTATCTTATTTGTTCAATTTTAAAAAGTACTTAAACTAGTTAGTTATATAAATAAAATTATTATAATAGTGGTGAGAGACTTACAATTGATGTCTTTGCTCTTATTTAGCTCGACTGTATGTTGATGGCGTTGATTCTTTACATATCTTGGAAACCCAACACACTCTACATGGGCGCTGAAGTTACATTCGACACATCCGTAGAATGATGCACCGCAACGTCTTGCACAAACACTACAGACTCGAGTTGAATGCTCTTCCCAAAAGTTATAGAGATAGTGAATATGATACTTGATCTTTTCTGGTATATCAACTGCTTTGACGCATTTGAAGTGGAGACTAACTTCGCATTTGCGACAAGTATAGCCATACTTTGTAATGTTCAGTTTGCAGACAATGCACTTGGATCCACTTACAACCAAAAATCTAAGATCGTGATCAGGGTGAAGTGGATGAAAGGGTATTCTTCGTCTCAAAGCTTTAAGGCACCAAGGATGATATACTTCTCTGCAATCAATACATGACACAACTTTTCCACACAGCCTCTCTTCACAAATAGTGCAAGTGATCAGATATGAGCTTGAAACAGTAGCTCCATACGTCCCATGAGTGTTGGTCTTGATGCAATCATCTCCTCGTGCGTTTCTAACCATGAGTTTCTGCCCTCTGTGTAACGTCCCAAGAAACTGTTGATCTTCTAAGACGCACTGAACATGGATGATAAAACTGCATATGCGACAGAAGAGATTAAACCCAGATATTTCCTTACGGCAAATGTCACAGTTCATACTAATCCCAGCAACAGGGGAATCTGGTAGGAGTGTCAAAGGATGGTTGGAATGAAACCGATGCCTTATTGGTAGCCCTAACTCCGCACAGAAATTATGTGTCTGGAAGCTACATGTCTCGCATTTACATGCTTTACCATATATAATTCCACTACATATGTTGCATTTTGCACGCTCATCAAGCTCGCTCAAAGCTATGGATCTTAGCACATGAGTGTGCCCCCCGACACTATTAACCTGAAATATTAGTGTTCTCTAATTGTTATCTGAAACAGAGAACATTGGTGTGTGTCAAATTAATTACCAACTGCAATAAGAAGCCATATATACCAAAAGTTCGTTTTCTAAGTTGATGGTTTTGCTGTCATCTTGGTCAGTGATGTCTTGGTCACAGGAATACAAATCTTTCAAGTACATTGGGGAAATTTCTGCTCCCTGGTTATTATCAGTAAGAGTAAGTCATCATCATTAAGAGCATGGAGAAGAAAAATATTGCAACAAAAAAAAAAACTATTACTAATTACCTTGCGTAGAGTGCATTCAATATGGGAAAGGAAATCACATGTTCCACAGCAATAAGCATGATGTCCTGTGTGTACTACCATTTCGCAAACGCCACAATACTCCAGAGAATCGTCATCTTCATCTCTAAGAAATACTTTGCAGACAAGTGGATGAATGTGATAAGATTTATCGACCACAGAGTTGGGTATCTCAAGACACTCCATATGAAACCTCGAATCACATTCCATGCAGTAATAGAAAGGTCTCCCACAATAAGCCTTGCATATATGACAATACCCAGTTTTCCCGAAACGACAAGAACCAGAAGTGTTTGTATAAAACAATCTGTGCTCATGAGAGTGATGCATCAGACCTCGCAACAATGAGTCCGCACACCTTAGGTGTAGCTTGAAATTGCACTTTGAGCAACCAAACGGTACACTGTATATCTCCCCTCCACAAGCATCACAGTTTCTTCCATTAGCACCACAGTTTTGTATGTAGTTGAAGCGTTTGAGAGGGTGTGACTGATGCACAGGGTGTAGAATCTTTGTTGGAATTTCATAAAGGCAATGCTCATGGAAAAACAAGTAACAATGAACACAACCATAACATATAGCTGATGGAGAGAGGGAAAGCTCACAGAGAAGGCAAGAGCCTCTAGCGTCCGGTCCTGGTCTACACCTTTTAACCAAGTGGGCATGGTAGTCACTAAGCAGCTCCTTGGCGTCCCAACCTGTGGTGATATTCCCCATGAGGGCACAACCAAGATCCAAGTAGATCTCACACTCTTTACACTCGTAGAAGCATCCGGAAGACATGCTCCCACACCCACTGCAGATGATATATCTTGGTTGTTTTTGATCATTTTGGGGCAGACAAAACTCTAGTGGATGCTCCATGTGAAAATCATGTGACACTTTCTGGGGTAGATAGGAGCAGGTTTTGCAGAGATCGAAGTTACACCGGTCACATGCGTATTCCACAAGTTCGTCTTTGTTGCAAATGTTGCAGATGCCATTTTCTACGATCTTAGGCACGGTCAACGCACATTCGTGAGAGACATGGTTGAGCTCAGCCATGGATCAGAGAGAGAGTGTAAAAGTCAACTAGAATAGGGGAAAAAAAGAGGAAGACAGGTTAGATCCACAAATCACAAATGTAATCAGGACATTTATGTACTATTAGGACGAAAATCGGTTTTGTCTGAAACCCGGTTTGGATTAACTCATAACAACCAATCACAATCAAAACCGAACTAATTAATTCATTACAAAAAAAAAATGCATTGGAGAAATGTGGGATTAAAGAAATGGGAACTATTCGTGTGATTATTGGTCCGTCACAACAACGCACTTCTATTAATAGCTCACATCAAAGAAAATCTATTAAAAATATTATTATTCACTAACCCCGAGGAAAGAGATCCTCCTATTGATGATTTTTTATTTTTTTATTTATTTAGTTAAAGTTTTTAAAAGGAAACAAATTTAAGAATTACTTAATCTAATATATGTTTCCAAACAAACAATTAAATATCTTAAATATAAATAAATTAACACAATTGTTTATAGAAACAATTAAATATTATAGATTACATTATATAAATTGATAATATACATAAACACATATGATACTACATAAAAAACTATAGATTGTCTTAAATATATTTATATTAGTCGGGATACAATAAATCGTTGAATGCAGAAAACTAATTAATTTCAACTTAATAGTATTAATTAAGCTCACCCACTATATATATATATATTATAAAATGTGTCAAATGAATGAAAAAACAATAAAATATACATTTTAAAAAATTTCAATCATTTTTAAGTGACAATATAATTACAAAAGCTGAATTATCACTTTTACAAATGATTAAAATATTTTTTCTATTTGAAATCATAAAATTATATGGTAAGTTATATAAAATTATAATAATCAAGATTTATTATAATAAACAATTAAAACCGGAACCTTATATTAAGACTTAATACTCTAATAATATAACTCGTATAGCTTTGATTATAATAAAGTTTTCATGCTTATATTTTTATAGAAAAAAGAAAGGAGACAAAAATAAAAAAAAAAACAGGAGGGAAGAATAGTAAAGTATGTTTGTTGAGTTCTTGGTTTTTTATATTCTTATGTATTTATTTTTATTTGTTTATCGAGATACATGTATTTTACATATTACTATAAATGTGAGTAATTAATTTCATGTGTTTTTAAAACATCAGAGTTAAGTTGAGTAAGGAAGATCAATAAAATGACCAGTTCTATAATTGATAAGATCGAATATGAAAAATATAACGTAAATGGATATTAAGAAAAAATATACTAAAAATAATGATATGTATTTTTTGCGATATAATAAGATTTTACAATTGATGATAATAAATTTATAACAAATTTTATAAAAATAAAAGCATTTTATTCAAATAAAAACATTTTATTTTGGTTTAATATCAAATCTCACATTAATATTAAGTATATATGTCTAAAATAACGACATTAAGTTATTTGAAATTTGAAATATTTTTTTCTTATATATAATTAGTTAATCATATTTAATTAAAATATGTACGTATTAAACTAATTGAAAATAAATGAAAATAATAAATTTAAAAGATATTTAAAACTAACTTTGGCCCACAAGTAAATATATTTTCTTCTAAAATTTGAAAGTCAAAGACTGAGATCAATCATTATCCATATTCCTTGGAAATCGTTATGAATGATATAACAAAATCTAAGAGGAATACAAAGCAATTAGAGGAATAACACCTTGTGAAAGAACCAGGCTATAGTGTTTCTTTGATATTTTTCAAGAAACCAACGAAACATTGAAGGAATCCTTGACATACACCTTTAGAGCCTTTAAGTTAGTAAGTTTCCCAGCCATACAAATCATAACGAGTCCAAGGATCCGATGGAGGAAAACTGCCAATCAGTTACTGATTAAGACTTCTGGAAAAGTGATATTTAGAACTGTATTTGGATGTCTAAACATTCAACTAATGATAACAGTGGTTATCCCTAACAAAATGAACTCCACTGAAAAAATACAAACAAATAGAATAATGTAAATAAATGATGATCGTACAAATGTGGTGAAGTCAATACCCTTCCTCAATGTATCTGAATCCTCAGAATAAGTTAACATTTAGATATTTTGATTAATATCATAAGAAAGGAGGTTATAAAAATCTTTGAAGTTTGTACATGATAACAACAATCGACATGGAGAGAACCCAAGCAGCCCTGCTGCTGTGATTCGGTGCATTGACAAACTTGTCAGGAACCGACTCTCAAGTCTCAGACTCATGGGAGATCGAAATCACACAAAGGCCATGGAAACATGGTTTTCCTTTAGATGATTTTGGAGTTTATTTTTTTTCAAAAATTTTACCAACTATTTCACATACAGTTACATTCATTGTACAAAAATATTTTTCTTTGAATTAATTTAACATTCATTCAAAAAAAAAAAACAATCGACATTTAAGCGCTACAATATGAGTATGTATTTCTTAGAAATGTAGGTTAAAATGGATAATAGGCTTCATGTCATACGATTTGGTCATATATTTGTACTTGTCTCAATCTCTCATTTCATTTTTCGCGCAACCACTGCAACAACTCTTTTGAATGAGGTGAACACATAACATATCACCACACTGTTTATGTTGGCGTATGAGGAAGCGTGTTAATGAATCAGTAGTCTCACAAAACATAGTTAGAAAAATAACAAAATCATATATTAGAGAATCAATATAATATTTACCTCAATTTCCAATAACTAACCTTAAGTGTTGGAGATTGGCTTCACACCCCCCCCCCAATCAATCAAATTAATTATTCGAAAAGGCAAACAAAAATCCTTCCTTGCAAAACTAAATATGACAATGCAAAAAACATGAAGAGATTGCACTCATGCTCGAAAGGAAACGTGTTGACTTGGTCAAGAAGTACGAAAGATACAGTATTGCCCGCACTAAATGTTTTGAGACAAAGCGAGATACATCTCTGTCGCAAAGAGTATGTGACCTCCTTTAATAGGATCGAATATGTTACCTCCTTAACATGATTGAATATAAGACCTCATTTAGCAGGATCAGATATGTGATTTTATCTACAATGACGACAAACTGTTTTTCTCTTATCCAAACTATTCGACAACTATAAAAGAATAACTCAGTCGATCGAGCAAAGAGATCAGATTTTCTCTCGAGAATTCCTAGAGATCTACAGAAATTAATATGGATCTCAACACTTTTTTAATAGCAAGATCAATTTGATAATCGAACTCGCCTTTCACTTGATTTATTTCTAATACAAACGAAATTTTCGACATGTTTTGTCTCTAATCTATTCAATTATCACTCCTCACTCACTATTCAATATTAATCTTTATGAGAGTTTATGATTAAAGAAAACTAGTTTATATATTTTATTTTACTTGACGTTGAAGGAGGTTAAGACACATAGATTACGAAAATATAAATTTTATACGATTTATCTTGGTTACATAAAACATTAATTCAATACAAACTAAATCAATCAATAGAAGAATTTTGTATTTCGTAGCTGAATACAAATTTCTATCAACATTAAATCTCTATGTAAATAAAGAGAATGTCACTCTTATTATGTAACAAAATCTTTATTAATAAAGTTGGGTTATCTGCCCTCTCAAGCTATCCACATCACTTTTTTAGATAGGGGCCTTTCTCGACATGTGTCAGACTTTGGTTGGTTTCGTTTATTTTATTTTTATCAAGGCGATGGTTTCGTTTATATGCTATGCAGATTTTCGTAAACTCTGGTCCTTTGTAACGTTTCAAATTTCTATCTATCATTAATCTCTCTCATAAATTGACGACGCTTCTTTAATCTTCACGAATCTCATAAAATATTTCCTTTCCACAATCCAATTTGGAAACATATTTGGATTCCATGATTGGAATAGCTTTGTCTTGATGATTTATGCTTTGAAGCAATGGTTGGAAGATATACAGGTATTGCTTATGTTTTTATCTCTGTGATTTGTTTGGTTTCAGTCAGAAAAACACTTCATGGATATGGTGTACGGGAGGATAGAATCTTATTTCTGGATTCGTAGAAATCCGATCGAATACACATTAGCTCGAATAATATCATTGTCTATCTCCTCCATGGGTGCCTCTGATGAGTCAAAGTAGTGTCTTTTGTTTTGGAAGACAAAGTCTCGGCCTTGCTTAAGAATATATGTTTTCTCAAAAACATTATCATGATTATGTTGTCCCATCAACGTTTAGATGCAGTGAAACTGAACGCGATTTGGTTACAGAGTTAATCAGAGAAGCAATACGAGCTCATAAGTAACATATTTTCAGGTATAATTATTTGAGATTCCAGTCCACAAATCACCTTGGCACCTTGATCCCTACTCTAGATCTTATATTCTACAATCTTTCAATCGATCTGTTATTTTATGGATTGTTAAAGCCTATGGTTTTGAATTTTTTCATAGTATTGTGTTGTCTACATTTTTTGCAAATTATCTGAATAGGTAAGCAATTTGTTGGAGATGGATGCATTTTTGGTCCAGCATGTGAGACACACTTAAGGAAGTGACAGAGTCATCGAGGCAGTCATGGAATATATTGCACAAGGAAAAGAAAAGAAATACCTTTTTGTTCTGAGGCTTACTCATACCCAATATTTTTTTACGGCTCTGTATTATATTTATTGGTTGATGTTATTGCCCAACATGTTCAAACTATAAGACAAGGGTATGTCTAAATGTTTGTCAAACTTGAGGGGTGGATGGATAAGAAGGTTTTTAATTAATCCTTGATAGCTGTGGGATGCTACACCCCTACTGCAAACCTATCCGGAGGACAGATTATTGACAAAGGTTGTAGAGAAGACCTAAAAGAGGTGATGAAATAACAGAGAATCTACCGGACATTGAGCCACTAGGAAGCAGGGTTAGAGATGATGTTTTAAGCGTGGAAGAATAAAGAAAGGAAAACTTCAAAGGTTAAAGACAAAACCCCATCTTTACATGTTTCCACCTACTTTCGTTTGATGAAAATATGTCATAAGTTTCTTTGTTTGAAGATATTTGAATTAATGGCAGGAAGAGTAGAAGACAATGCCAAGACCTCCACGATACTTCATACACGATATTGTTTGCCATTGGTGTATTGGTTTTAGAGGTCATAACCAGTTGTAGAGCTGTTGATACAACAGAAGCCATGTGGGCGTGATGCGTGCTATCTCAAGGATCACACGGCCACCTTATACCTCAACAAACTCATCCGCCAATGGCAACTCCTAATGGAGTGAGTAGAAACAATTAAATAAATCTTAATGTCTGATAACTAATGTGCTTATCACTCACCTTAGTCCCCCTTGACTGATTTTTGCTTCTTATTATTTTCCATTGGTGGACTTTTTATTTCGTCAATCAAACGGTGAATATCACCATGATGTGTTTGTTCTATTGATCTTTGTTTAGTCAACCCCAAACGAGTTGTCTATATTCTACAAAGTCCATTATAGTTTTATACAATAGCTGTAAGAATATTGTATTGCACATCTTTTCAATAGTACATTGTGGTTTATAAACATGAACGGAGTTGCTAAAAACACACAGAAACTTAATTACATAAGTTTCCTGAAACAAAGGAGCTGAGATATTGTTAATGATTATGTGCAGATCTTAATCATAACTCTAACATTAGCTGTTTTTACTTTATCGTCTGATAACAGTTGAAGCCAAATAACCGTTAAACACCACAGGTGAAAGACATAACCAACCTGTGAAATAAAATAAAACGCCTAGAAGTAGGTGCAAACATAAGGGAAAGATATATTAGTTGCTGTCAGACGCTTCACGAAGGAGATTAAATAATAAAAGCTTCAGCAAACCGCATAATAGAAAAATGATTTATAAAATCCACTTCACTATCTCTTAATTTCTTAACGCTTCAACATAAATACATAGATATGTAATATACTAATATGTTAACCAAAAGAAGGTTCACGTCTATAGTTATTAAATTTTCTAAAATTTAGTTTCCTAAAACTAAATTGTAACTAGATCTTTGAGATCAAACATGCCATTAACCAATCATATGAATTTCTTTAATTACAACTTTGAAGGATAAAACTCGACCGCTTACAAAGTTAGAGCGACTACAATCCAAAATATGCACCACATCAGATTCTTATTCCATTTGTCTTTCACAAATCATTTTATTTCGAGCAAAAGTTTTAAAAAGCCAAAAAATTACACAAACATTACATTCAAATGCTAACCCAGCAAAAAAAATAATAACTTACAATAAACTTCTAACTTTACATAAAAAAATATAGCATATCCGGATATCCCGCCCGTAGGGCGGGCCTAAACCCTAGTAAATAAATAAAAAACTAAACACCAAAGAAATTGAAAGAGAAATGGCATCGTAATTTTTTTTCCTCTTCTTCACGTGACAATATGAGACGCGATTGGCTCATATCGAAGAACTACGATCTCTCTTAAGAGTTTTGAATCCCAAGTAATCATATTCAAAATCAAAGTCGTATAATATTTCAGATATAGCACACCAAAGAATTCAATCTTTCAAACTTCAAAACGAATTCATTCGCACGTAATAGATTTTAAATTTTGAAAAAAAAATTGAATGGGACCTATCAGATCTAGAATAGCTTTCAACAATTCATGAAACTATACAACATGTTCGTCCTACTGTCAAAATTTTGTTTCTCCACATCATACTTTTTAATAATTACAAAGCAAAGTTATATATCGGTTGCAAAATGTAAGAGAATATATTTTTTACAATTTTCATCTGAAAAGCTTCAAAAACTATCATCATAAATTCTCAAGCTCCAACGTTAAAGAACACTACGTATACACAGAAAAAACCATTAAACAGGTTACAAAAACGATTAACAAACACGTAATTGACATGTAATTAATTACCCATCCCACTTTGTTACATTAAGACCTAATCTCCTTCGTTGCTCTGTATATACTCTCTAGAGATCGAAACTTCTTTTCTTTCATCTTCCTCTTCCTCTTCACGACAAGATCACAATTCCCTTTTACGCCGTCGTTTTGCTCGTTTCCGCTTCTCGAGCTAACATCTTCATGATGCCTTCTCTTGCGTAGTCCTATTTCGCCGCCACCATATCCGCCGGTGCTGCTGCTACAGCTCCCCGTTCCTTCTTCGCTCAGCTGCATAAGCTGTTCCGCCGCCGCCATATCCGTCTCCGAGAAGACGATCGCGGCAGATTCTCCGGAGAATCCAGTTTCTCCCATTGGATCGTTCATGTTCCGAATATTAATCAAATCTGAAACAATAAAACTAATGAACCAAGAAATAAATAGCGAGTCGATTTATATTTATTTTTTTTAATTTGTTTTTTTTTTGTTATATTTTGTCGTTTTTTCGTTTTTGTGCAATGGAAAAGAAGAAGAAACTACAAAGTCGGTTTCGTAAGAAGAGGAACGAGTATTCTCAAGTTATTTAATTTTAACTAAATAGTGTAGTTATCACCTGCACCCGTGTGTATCATATCATATCTCTTAGAATCTGATCCGTCGAGAGTTTATTCTCCTCGTTAAGTTTTGTCTTGTTGATCCAACGGTTGTGCTTAGCTTCATATGTTACTTCTTCGATGAGGTTTACTTTTGTCTTAGAGAGCAATGGAAGCATTTGACTTCTACAACAAGTTCTTTGGTGCGTTCCACGTAAGCCATTCCGATTCGGTGTTGTCACCTAAGTGGGTCCCTGTTTCCTTATTCCACGTGTTGTTATCTTATACGTTCAAAGAATAGTCTTTGTGGAATCTACAAAGCTTACGTAGCCATTAAATTTCTGGTTAGGAAAATTACTTGTATAATTTTTATGTCTATTTGTCTCGTGGCTATTATATATATACCTATATCTAACTTAAACTCGTTTGGGAAAACACGGTCGTGAAATGTATTTGCTGGTGTTAAATATGTGATGACAAAAACAAAAAAAAAAATATTTGATGACTGTAATAATATAAATCTCATCTGAATTATGATTATCATGAAATTCCTTAATTCCAAAATGGAAACAGACTTCGGACCATTGATAGTGGTTTTTGGGCTATAAAGGCTTACTTTGAATAAAACTCTAGGCAACAAAAAGCCCAAAAGTTATGAAACAAACAAAAAAAAAGTTAAGTGTGGCTGCTGGGATTCGAGCCCAGGTCTCCACGGCCACAACGTGGAATTCTCACCACTAAACTACAGCCACTTTGATGGTACTTTGTTTTAAATATATGTATTTATCTGTATGCTTTGATCCTTATTTGTTCTTCACGTTAAGACTGTTACTCTATTTCAGTAGGACCTATTAATTCATTCTGTAAGTTGATTTAAGATTGCAGTAAAATCATTAGCTCTTAATCCTCTCCCACTCACCCCTCTAGAAATCATATTTACTAACAATCAAAACTTAGATATTTTCATAACCAAAACTAGATATCACCGCCGATTGTTGGCCGGCGATGCTCACTTCTCTTGCTTTACCTCTGATGAAACCAACGTCTTTCGCGGCATCTGCCAATCGGCCCAATCTCCAAGTTCCGGTGGCTCTTCTTCTTCCCCGGCGCCTCCTTTGAAAATTTGATACATGCATGTTCCTCGTATATGTATGCAGACATTAACTATGGTTATAATATACAGTTCTATTTTTTTTTTAATGTCAGCTCGTTCATTTGAGTTTTATATAGGCCCGTTTGCTATTATCTAAGAAAGAGTCCATCAACTACCAGTGAAGAAACAATGTTCTGTCAAATAAACAGAGCATTAAAATAAGTAACTTGTCCAAGAAGAAATTTAATTCATGTTTTTGCCTAGTTTTATAGAAAACCATCACTCTTTTCAGACCATTCTTTACACTTCAAAAACTTGGTTTGGTCTAATCGTGATTAATTTTTTTTGGTTATTATACGTTGTAGATGATGGTCATATAAACTTGGTTGGTCTAATTGTTTATCAGATGGGGTTTTAGTGATTTAAACCCCTACCTCCCCCAACTATTTTTAAATTGTCGAAAAACCTCCAACTAAATTTTTTATGTTTTTAAACTCTCAACTAAAAAATATGGTTCTTTTTCCTTTTCAAGAATCATCGAATGTGATATAAGTAAAAAAAAAAATTTAATATGTCAAGTGTGAAGGGATAGATAACCTATGTTACTTAACATTTCAAAATTCACCTTTTTGATAAATAAATGAATATGAGAGAAATAATTGATATTAGTTCAATAGAGTTTTTTTACTTATTTTACTTTTGATGGTTCTTGAAAAGGAAGAAAAGCCTTCTTTTATTTGAGGATGAATCGTGATTCTCGCTGCATTTGAATTTAGCAGATCCCCGTTCAGAAAAAATAATTTTGTTTACAAAGTGTTAAAGGTATTCCAGATTTAATAGTTAAAATTTTAAAAACATAAAATTTTAGTTGGAAGTTTTTCATCCGATTTAAAAATAGTTGGAGGTTTAAATCACTAAAATATTTAAGCATTTCGTGTCGTTTCTATGATTATATGAAATATTGTGTCTCAATTTAACGGATCATTGTTCAAAAAGACTTTATTAACGGAAGAATAATTGAGGGTTTAAAAACATAAAATTTTAGTTGGAAGTTTTTCATCCGATTTAAAAATATTTTGAATCACTAAAAACCCTTATAAGAATCGTAATTAACTTATAAACATATAGTTTTAGTTATTATATGTTGTAGATGATGGTCATAGACTGCGACATGACTGATACACCAATGTATCCAGAATGTCTGATTAATTAACGAAAATGAAGAGCATGGTCTTGTTCAGAGTCTTGCAAGTTTGTTTCTAGATTTTCTCAGATTTTGAGTGGTAATATTTTAAAAGTTTAGTTCGTGCCCAAAATCTTAAGCAAGGGAACATAAATTATATTGAGGGTTCTTTCCATCAACATAAATTGTATTTAGTTTTTTTTTTTTGCGACAAAAATTGTATTTAGTTATTAGAAACAATTCACTAGAAGGTACAGATTACAGCATTATAAATGAGTATATATTTTTTGATAAAATAATTAAACAGAAGAAATTTAAATATAAACTGTAAAGCATAAAATTGGAACATAAACATGTACTTGGAATATGTCAAAAATATTTTTTACTAGGAAATTGGAAAATAAACATGTATTTGTAACAAAACCAAAATTTATATAACTTTTTTTTACAGAAATAAAAATAGTGACACATTCCATACGAAATTATCTCTATAATATTATTTGAGAAGTCACTTTCTTAGGTGTCGCGCTCACGTTAACTTTCACGCTGGTTGATTACTATGATACCCTAATGAATTAAAAATATATTTAAATATTATTTTTTCCTTTTTAAAATCTTCCAAATAACAATATAAAACAAAAAGGAAATATTTCTAAAATTTACAAAACTATTTAAAAACGAAAATAAGTATATATATAATATGGTTTCATAAATAAGGAAAATTTACAAAATAGTAATATTTAACTTAAATATATTTTTTAAATAACATAAATTATACTTTTTAAGTAATTATACTTTATATCTATATCTTCTTTGATGAAAAAAATATATTTGTATATAATGTGTTTTCATAAAAAAATTTCATACAAATAATCTTGATATTAGAAAAATAAATATTTTTTCTTTAAAAAATAATTTAAACAATAAAATATATATTTCAAAGTAATTAGTTTTTGTATATATGTATCTATGTTATTAGATGATTACATAAAATAATTAAGTAACATAAACTGATATATGTTTAATTGAAAAAAAAAATTATAATTAGTATATTTATTTGATTATAATATCTTACCGTTACAGCAAAAAATATAAATTATATTTTACTTATATAATATAATTTCTCAAAAACAATCACATTTTACTGCATATTTTAAGAGATATTAAAAACAAAACTAAAAATAAATTTAATGGTAAACATCTTTTGATCAGATAACTACAATTCTTTTAAAATATCATAACACTATATAATTTAACGAGGTAGATATATTATATTTTAATAGTTAAAATTATATGTTTTCGGTTGCTCAAAAAAAATATATATTTTCTTAATAACTCTTTTGATGTTTAATTTTCTGTTTTTATGTTTGTGAAATTTAATATAACCATAATCAAAATACTTAAGAAAATTATAATTCTTTATTTTTAAAATTATTTAAAATAAATTTCAGTTTACCATCCAATCAATCTAAGGCATAAATTATTTAAAATTTCTAAAATATTTAATTATTGTAAATATTGATATGTTTTCATAAGCTTCTGAAAATTTATTATTACTTATGTATGTAATTTAGAATCAGACACTTTAGTATTTATTTTTTTCGTTCTAAGCACAAAAAA